GAACATTAAACATCTTGGTAAATATCGTATATTGTTTTATTAGGAATAAAAATGATACTTTTTGTGGTGAGGCTGTACAGGCGAGGCACAAAACGTCATTTTTACTCCGAATAAAACATGCTTTTTTTCGTCACAAATAATTTTTTAAACAATTCTAAACGTTCCAAATAATATATAAAGATTTAAAAGTATCAGCTTGTAAGTAATTATACAGGGTGGTCCGAACTGTATTCCGGAAACTTCGGCAGCATATTCTGCAGATAAAAATAATTAAAAAAGTTCGTATAAATGTATGTTCTAAAATGCTTAGTTTCGGAGATACAGGGTATAGAAGTTTCATTTTTATTTCGATTTTTTCCAAATAATTTCTGAAGTAACGTCAATATTTGGATGAAAATTGGTATCTGGGAGTTTTTTTGGCATGAGAAATTTGATTTTGATTTGACTCCTACTAGTAGAGGGCGCCACCTACATATTTTTTAACTAGTTTGAAGAGTAATAACTTTTCGACCGTACCTGAATAAAACTACTGACTAAAAAAGTGTACATTTACGATGTTTTTTACCTGAAAAAGGTCTCTTGGTAAAAATCGCTACGAGTAATGGTTTTCGAGATATTTGGAATCGAAATTATCAATACCTGTCATCATTGACATAAATTAACATGTTGACTAAATAGTTATTAGACTGAAATCATAAATTTGAAATGTTTTTGTGCCAAAAGTTCAACAGAAACTGTCTTATCATCATTTTTTACAGTAAAAAATATGACTAATTTAAAAAATAAACATTTTCTATCTACTCTAATAAACTATCTACTCAACGTGTTTGTTTTTCGTCAATAATGACATGTATTGTCTATTTCCATTCTAAATATCCTAAGAACAGTTGCTCGTAGCGATTTTTACAAAGAGATATTTTTTACGTAAAAAGTCACAGAGATGTATATTTTTTCGATCGGTAGTTTTATACAGGTACGGAAAAAAAGTTATTACGCTTCAAAACAGTTAAAATACATGTAGGTGGCGCCCTCTACTAGTAGGAGTCATATTGTCACCAAAATCAAATTTCTCATGTCAATAAACTCCCAGACACCAATTTTCATCCAAATATTGACGTTACTTCAGAAATTATTTAAAAAAAAATTGAAATAAAAATTAAAGTTCTGCACCCTGTATCTCTGAAAGTAAGCATTTTAGGACATACATTTATATGAACTTTTTTACTTATTTTTATCTAAAGAACATGTTGCCGAAGTTTTCGGAATACAGTGCGGACCACCCTGTATATTGAGAAAGTATGGATACGGGGGGCTCGTTGAATTTAACACTTTATGTCAGTTTAATAATATATTTTCGTACTTTTATTCTTAGGCGCAAAATTGCTTTACTTTTATGCCTAGGCGTTAAAACAGCTTTTTTATATTGTCAATTAGGTCGCAAAAACTAATACTTTTGTGACGTTTGAAAAAAAAGTAATTATTACATGTTTCTAAATAAACCATGCATTTTCTGCCTTCCTTTTGCGACTTTTTTTGGAATAATTAGGCTACGCACTGACATGAAATGTTTTGGTCGGCCGACTATTTAGTTGCAAACGTGAAAACAATACATTCTTATGGAGCCGATCGGCCGATTACTTGATTGTAGTAGTCGCGTACCCTCGCTGATAGACAATTTTTAGTCGGTCGACTATTTAGATGCAGGTTTGTAATTAATATAATCTTATGAGGCTGCGCTCACATGCATTCACATAGTCGGCCGATCGGCTCCATAAGAATGAATTGTTCCCATTTTTGCAACTAAATTGTCGGCAAACTATAAATTGCATTTCAGCGCGTAGACTTATTGTTTCGAATTTCGCTTTAAAAACTTAATTTACAGAATTCAAGGTGTCTTATTTTTCAGAGTGATACATATTATTTAAAAATATGCGATAATTGTTTCGAGTAGTTTTTATATCGTTATAAATCTTCATTTCCTTAAAAAGTTTTTTTTTCTTTCCAAAGTAGTATACCTACAATAATTCAAATGATAAGACTATAAATATATTAGCGTACTGTTTGTATCACAATCTTAGACTATATAAAATATATCTTTCTCTATTCAAGCACATTCCATAATAAAAAGAAGCAGGCCTATTACCAAACAAAAACTAAAAATAACTAAATACAAACCCATTCCTTTGTCAAACTCCAGTCAGCAATCTGATAAAATCAACCTTTCCAACATCGTGCGTATTGGAAAAAATAAATGAAAAAAACTGGCAATCATATTTTCTAAAAGAGCAAAATTGTTTGGAAAAAGCAAGCCAATTCCAAAAAAAAGTCGACAATATGTCGCAAACGTGACTATGGAAAAAGCGCGTCGACTACATTAGAGCAGCGGAAGTCCTAGACAGGGTTGGATAATTTCTATATTATGTGTAGGAAATACTATATATTTATTACAGAGAAAAATAACAAATGTAGTAATAAATGTAGTCAATAATACAGTAAATTTATGAATATTATAATTATTTAGAAGTTTATGTAGTAGTAATGTCTATTTTTTTATTGATTCAGTTCTAACAAGATTAAAAAATGTCAATGTTTTTGCAAACCCTAAGATTTGTTGTTTATTGGTTTGCTTAATTATAATTTTTTCATATTGTTTCTCTCTCAAAGATCAAATGACTTAATAAGAATAAACAAAAAATTTATCTTTAAAACTTTGGAGATATCATAAGAAAACGTTATTTATTTGCTTTTGGACTATAAAATACCAATTTTAGACTTTCTAATATTAATATCTATATTTTTTATCAGGTGGTAGTAAAATTTTAAGGATTTATTAAGATTTAGATAAAAATTTAATATCGCTTTGCATGCATTTTTGTTTTTATCCTATCAATTTATTATGAACAATAATTGCAGATATCAAAAATATAATTAAATGTTATTTGTAAAGCTTTGATTATTCTATCAGATGTAAAATAATTGAAGGCATTATTTTTAAGAAATAATTTTTTAAATTGATATTGCTCCATTAGGGTTAAGAATGCAAAATTAACAATATAAATTGCTTTAGAGAATAAACAATCTTATTTTTACATTAATGTACGAAATTTAGTGGCTTATTTTGAATTACTTTTGAAAATTGAGGAATTTATACTTTTTTATAGCACGTTTTATAGGAATCAGTACATAACATATACAGGGTGAGTCTTAAATAAGTGCAAATGTTTTCAGGGCTGGTAGATCTCGATAAAAGAAATATATTTTCTCTTTACCGTTATTTAAATAAGTCTAAAATAACCGAGTTGTTTTACTTTGAACATTAAAAAAAAAACGTTTAGGTTTAACGCAGAAGTGTTTACAAAAAATAATTATTTTATTTTGTAGATTTTCTTGCAGTGCAGTGGCGAAATACCCATACAGGATTTTTTTGGAAAGATTAAAAAAAAAGAATTTTGCTTAAATTTTGAGAACCACTGGATCTATTGTTTGGTTTCTGTATTATAAATTGAATCTACTATCTATGTTGACTACCTATATTTTATGTTTTTAACTAAAAACTAAAAAATTTCCAAAAAAAATTTGAAAAGATTCCAAATTTTTAAAAACACTTTTTCGCGAATAAAACCTCATTATATTATTTATTTTATTTTATTATTAATAGGGTCGATATTTTACCTTAAAAATATTTGCACTTATTTAAAATTCGCCCTGTATAGCATTTATTTAGTAAAATTCCTATCTGTGGGAACATACTAGAAAAACAATAGACTGATATTTACATTTGTTATTCCAAAATATTAATAATATTTAGCATATATCTTTAGCATCACAGAGCAATGTTATTGTTATTCTATTATATATCAATTTATGAAAAAAAGTTTGGAGTAGATATAAATAAATATTATAATTTTTTTTATTTTTCATTAGTAGAGTGTTTTTATTACTAGTAGAGAATTTTTGAAATCACCCTGTTAAAGGAAGTTACAAAAAATACTACATTTATTACATTATTTAAGATTAAGCATCTTTAATCGTCTGAAATAATTTATATTACCGTAGCATATTACAGTGTAAATCCTTATACAAACAGCCATTTTGATTGATTATTAACAAAACAATTTGAAACTAAATTTAATAATGTGTTTATTCTGCTCTCTGTATTGTTTGTATAATTTTTATATTGCTTTAATTATATTTTGTGTGGCTGTAGGTTAGATAAACAGGCTATTTGGGTTTTTAATTTAGCACTGATTTTCGCCTTTTTGTAATTTTGATAATATTAATGTTTTCTTTAGATTACTTGTTTACTTAATATTGAATTGCAAATAAAGACTTTTATTATTATTTTTATTAAATTTTATAAAAATCGTGAAAGTAAATTTCAAGTTTTTTGAAAGAAGTCTGGATTTTTCGTCACTGGAAAAGAAAGCTACACACTAAAGAATGTTAATTTTTACTTTAGTTCTTAGCAGATATGCTATTATCGGCTATATCGGCTTAAAACTAAAGTGTTCTTTAATAGTCTTGTTTAGATATTTTAAATATTTTTTTGGTTCTGATGACCAGAAGAGAATAAATATACCTCCTGACACGTTAAGCATTTTTTGTCGTTTAGGAAAATTCGTTCCATTAGTAAAAATTCACTCACAAGCTGGTTTCCGTTTGGATTCAAAGCAATGGTGTTTACAAAAAAGTAACTATTTTATTTTGTAGATTTTTCATCCAGTGGTGAAAAATCTAGACTTGTTTCAAGAAATGAACGCGCCACAAAGGTCTACACATTATTTTTAAATTTAAAGTTATTCGAAAAAAATAATCAAATAAGGTTTTGTATAACGATTTCCTTGCCATCCTACAGGCGACATTTTTATTACACAATATATTTTCTACGTAGAAAATACAATTTGCTACGTACAAAACTTGCGTAATATATTTCCAATTAAGAAAGAACCGAACCCTGGTCCTAGGACATCGCCACCCATCGCCCCTCTACGAATACCTACCCGAAAAAAATTTCGGGGCACGACCCGCGTCAACACGTCATGGAGAAAGGTTTTTCCATAGTTTAATACGTCCATTGCGGCGTCGAACGATACCTATCGCTGGGGGAAGGGGAAGTCGGCCTAGAAGCAAACATCAAAAAAAGGACATCAATAACAAACACTACGACACATAGGTACAACAAAAAGGAGAACGGGTTTATTTTATCGTCTTTACTATATCATACTATCGATAAAAATGTGTAAAAAATACAAGTATGTTTATTAACGCTGTGGCTTTATTAAAATTTGATTTTTAATATAACAGATATGGATCAAAATTTAAATCAGTTTCAAGAGCTCAGTATGTGATAATAAACGTTATACAGAAAAAAAACAAAAATAGTGCGTGTTTATACTTTGTAACGGCGGATATATGTATCGAGGATGAGGTTAACATAATATTATAAAGTGCGTATCATATAATAAACAATTGTGATATTCATGTTAATATTTTTCCATTGTTGCGGCAGAAATTGGTTTAAGCTCATTAAGTTAATAACTTTTATTTACAACCACATATGTAATACTGACATTACCGACTTTTAAAAAATTTGGAAGTGTCAAATTATCTACATTTCTTCCCTCATCCACTTCCCTCACCCATTTCCCTCACTCGCATCATTTTTTTATTTCTTGCCTCATTTAATTAAGCAAAATATTCTTGTAACATCTTTATCAAATACTTATCTAACGTCAACAAAAATAAACAAGAAGATTAACAATAATAATTGAAGATTTTAATACATTTATTGTTGAAGGTAAAAATGTAAAAGGTAAAAAATTCTTTGGCTTAAAACCAACATTCTGGCGTTTTAAAAAAGCGACAAGTTTGTGTTATTTTGATATGTCAGTCTTTTCCCTTAATTCTAGCATTGTCCGTATCATGCTGTACGTAGCCCAAATAGTAGATGGCTTTTTCTACCTTGCCATGTCGCTAAAATATATCATCAAGACTGTCTCCGAAGCAATATTCTTAGCATTTCTTTCGGCACATCATTTTTTGTACTTTCAATGCTATTTCATATCGTCCCCTACTTTTCTCTGGAAGTAAACTGGCTTCTGCTCTTTTTTCAGCTTCTGTAAGTTCTGGCGGAGTACCAATATTAAAGTAGGCTTCATTATCAGAACTTTCCGACAATATTCTGGCTTTCTATTTTATATAAATTCGAAAAAGCGAACGAGAAATTCAAGACTGTCACTCAGTTGTTTGTTTTGCTGTTCAAGGTTTGCGCCATAACAACCACTGGTACCGGTAACTATAGATATGGAAATGCCAAAACAGAAAACGAAAAATTTTCGCATATGTGTTTTTTTTTTCAAAATAAAATACTGTCCCTATTTTTTAGTTAATGATGTGGTTGTAAATAAAATAGTATACAAACCTCGGAGGAAAGTTTTCATTATTGTCTCGACAGTAATGAAACACTTCTCTCCTCGGTATGTAATACACTATTACACCTTTTTCCTTTTTTTAAATCTATTTTCCTTATTCTCTTTTTTAAATAAAAAATTACAATTTTTTGTTAAAAAAAGTATTTGGTTAATCTTGAAACTATTATTAATATCGTGATTAGATAAGAGTATAAAGTGACTCACTAGTCTGAAACGTTTCCAAAATGATTTTTCAAAACAATTTAAAACGCTTTACGGACAAAATATAATTTTTAAATTATACTTATTACTGGGCAAATTAAAAACCCAGTAGAGTAAGTAACCAACCAAGTTACCAATTTAGAACCCCTTTTTTATCAACTTCGTTTGAATTTTACTCATCTGATCTTTTAACTTCCTGCTGCTGATGATAACATTAAAATAACTGATGATCTTATTGATTTTAACCTTACAATAATTAAATAATGTACCTACATTGCTATAAAAAAAATTGAAATATAAATCTGAAAAGGATCCTTTGTTTAGAAAATAATGTCTCATCCTAAAAAGAACTTTATTTAATTTTAGCAACAACTTAGATTCGCATAAGATAGTTTGATATAGTATGGACGATATACAGAGTGAGTCTTAAATAAGTGCAAATGTTTTAGGGGTATATATTTCGACTCCAGGAACACGATTATGATGATTTTTCGCGAAAAAAAATCAAAAATTTTGAATTTTTTTTGAAATTCTTTTAGTTTTTAATTAAAAAACATAATTTCTTGATAATATGGCAACGTAGGTAATAGATTAAATTTACAAGAAAGAAAACCCAAAAAAGATCCAGCGGTTCTGAAAATTTAAGCAAAAAATCATTTTTTTTTGGAAATTTGCAAAGTAAATTATCTCGGTTATTTTGGACTTATTTGAAAAACGGTAAAGAGAAAGTATGTCTCTTTTATCCAGCCCTGAAAATATTTGCACTTATTTAAGACTCACTCTGTATATGTAAATTAATTGATATGGTTATTTGATAAGAACGTGCGAGGTTCATAGACAATAAGGATTATTACTAGTAAAGTTTGTATAGTTAGGGTTACACAATAAATGAATATTACATTAAGGATACAATAAAATACTTACAACCATCTTTGTATAGTTAGGTTTATACAATATAGGGCTATTAGAATACAATACAATATTGACTACCATCTACAGGCATCAATTAATTACTTTTGTACAAATATGTGATAAAAAATTGAAAACATTAGATTTAATGAAACGATAGTCAAGCATACGTGCAATTTACATTAATGGTCTTATGTAAATCACATAAGAACATTCTCACATTGGAGTAATAATTAAGACATTTTATTTAATCTAAAGTTGGGGCAAGTATGGATTGTCCTATTAGTTTGTAACACAATAATTATATTTCATAGCCTTTTTATATAGTAAAATGTTATTTTAATAAGAATATTATTTATAGTTTATTTATTATTATTTTATTAAACAATTTACTAGGGAAAATACTAACATTTTTCTATACTATTTTAAGTTAAATATAGTTTTTGACTCAAAACATTGGAATGTCATTTCCAATGTTTTAAATCAAAATAACAGTGATTAAATAAAATGACAACGATGTTCATTTCATAGCCATCCCTGACCCGTTTTTTTCGATCATATTATATATATTTATTATTTTTTTTGGTTAACTTCCATTGGACAATAGATATACCAAATTGGTAAGAGTTTTACCTTAATATTTATTGTAATATTACCAAGTAATATATATACAGGGTATCCCAGAAATAAGTGCAAGTATTTTAACTGGTAGTATAGTTCAACCACATAATGCCTATGAGGTTTTTTTCGCGTAAAAGTTTTTTTTGAAAATCCGAAATTTTTTGGATTTTTTTTTAGTTTTTAGTTAAAAAATATAATTTCTTGATAATATGGCAACATAGGTATTAGATTAAATTTACAAGAAAGAAAATCCAGAAAAGATCCAGTGGTTCTTAAAATTTTAGCAAAAAATCAATTTTTTTTGGAAATTTTCAAAGTAAAATAACTCCGTTATTTTGGACATATTTGAAAAACGATAAAGAGAAAACATGTTTCTTTTATCGAGATCTACCACCCCTTAAAATACTTATTTCTGGGAAATACTTATTTCCGGGACACCCTGTATATATTTTAATTTTCTACAATATACTTATTGCAAAATATGTTTTTATTTATGTTAATTTTCGTTCCATAAATCTCAAGAAGTACATTTTCTGAGAATGCATCTAGACAGTTGGTAGAAGTTAGTGTACAACATAGACAATAATGAAATATGTATTACGGAAATTATGATAGATGCTGTAGGAGAAGTAACTTTCTAAGTTTTAGGCAAAGTGGTTGACCTTTCATATATAATAAATGAAACGCCAAAAGATCTTGAGCACAGCCATCAGTTTCAAAATGTCTTTTCCAAAATGTCTTTTCCAAGTTTCTACTATTAGTCTTACGTTATAAAAAAATTTTAATGTTTTTTTTTCAGTATTTTTTCTTATAATTAAATAAATACACTAATTAAAGATAAGACACGATACTGTGGTAATACAGGGGGAGTCTTAAATAAGTGCAAAATATTTTGAGGGCTGGTAGATCTCGATAAAAGAAACATATTTTTTCTTTACCGTTTTTCAAATAAGCCAAAATAACCAAGTTATTTTAACTTTAAAAATTAAAATAAAATGATTTTTTGGTTAAATTTTGAGAACCACTGGATCGTTTCTGGGTTTTCTTTCTTGTAAATTTAATCTACTATCTAAGTTGCCATTTTATCCAGAAATTATGTTTTTTAACTAAAAACTAAATAAATTTCCAAACATTTTTTCAAGAAATTCCAAATAATCATTTTTTTTCGCGAAAGAAACCTCACAGACGTGTGTCTGGGGTCAAAATATGCTATCCCAGAACAATATTTGCAGTTATTTAGGGCTCCCATCCTCTAATACTTCTTTTTTAATCTCTCTCATTCTCTCTCTCTCAATCTCACACTCTTTTTATAATATAACGATATTTTAATTCAAAAGTATATATATCTCTTTTTTATGTGATTTAGAAGTACTGATTCCAAAAGCATTTGGTTCTGAAAGAAGTTAAGTGAGACTTTTATTTGTCAATCTTATGGTATGGTTGGCTAATTTCCGAATGATCTGGAATGATTCAGACCATTCGATTTGACAGTTGTTGGATATTTTCCCTATATTCTTGTTTGCATTACGGTGCAAAATGTTATTTTTATCTATTTCAATATCTTTTAACATTTGAATATGCTATTTTTCACTATTATTTCTTTTATAATGTTGGTTTTATGCATTTCGTATCAATTAAACTTTTAGTACGTAATCGAGGGCGCGATTTTTAAAATCATTGTTGCCAACCATGGACATATTCGGCGCCGTGCTGACTAACTGCAATTAAAATTTCGCGCTGGGGATTCAGGTGGTAGCTCTGCCGTAAAAAAATGTCAAGTTGCCGCAGTTATTTATTTAATCCCTGACATTGTCATTCGTTTTGACACTTTAGTTTTGTATTACGAGTTTTTGGTTTAAATAAATAGTTTTGTGATGCTTTTAAGCTTCAAAATATTTATTAGTAGACCTTGCAGTCGAATCTTGTTCTTTTTAGAACCTCTTTTAGTGCAA